TCCTCTGTAATTGAAGGGGATAGGGTAGATGTCGTGGAAGTCGTGGTGGTACTGCCTAAGCATGCCAACCTGTGTAGTCGCCATAGTCGTAGTTGTATGGCCCATCGATCTCGTATGTTGAGTCGGCTTAGGCTTGGGCACAGGCGGAGTCTTGAATACCGTAGGCGCCTGTTCTGTATGTACTGCTTGTTGATGTTGATGCACCTTTGTTAGGTGTTGTTGGTATAAGCCTGATGACGCCGAACGCTTACCATTTAGTCCAGAAAGCGCGGGTCGTTGCGGCTGTAAACGTATGCGCGTCCCAGGCGGTTTGTGTTTGGTGCCGGTGGAGTGGGCCTTGTTTGATTGACATGTGTACTTGGCGGCGCCATGGGTGGGATCTAGTCCTGTCTGGTGGCCTGCGTGTTGTGGTGCCAGTGCTGAAGTAGGTATGTCGTGAAGCCAGAGTCGTGCCCTACATGCCACATTCTCGCCCTCCTCCTCCTCCTCCTCCTCCTCCTCCTCGTACGCCGAGGTGGCTTGGCAACCGCGCGAGCCGCCCCTCTTCGCGGCCGCTCGCGATCCCCCGAGCGAGACCCGCTCCAAGCTACCCACTGTGACTCGCTCCAAGCCACCACTGTGGTGCGGAGCGTGCGCAGCACCGATACGTATGGATCGGCGGCGAGCGAGGGGGGGAAGTGAGAAGGGGCGGGCCTTCTCAGAAGGCTCGGAAGTCCCCCTGAGAAGTTTTCTAAGCCTTCCCCGAAGACAGACAAAAAGCTTCTAAGAAGGCGCGAGGGCCTCTGAGAAGTCCCGCCGCCTTCCGAGAAGGCCTTCTCCTTCTCATTTCCCCCCCTCGCTCGCCGCCGAAAGCTTCTGCCAGACAGCGAGTGCGACCCGAGCAGCCTGCGCAGCCCAAAGCAGCCACAGGGGCCCTGGGAGCCAGGCCTCCGCGGGGAGTTTGGGGGCAAAGGGGGCAGCATAAGCGGGGAGAGAGCGGAAGCGAGGCTGAAGCGGGAACTTGGGCGAATGGAAGTGCTCATTATCACAGACTCCAAACTTTTGGGGGTCCTGCGGGACACTATATTACATCGGATTCATATCGGCTTCAGTCTAAACTGTTCTGCTTGGTGTCTGAACATACTCGGGTGGTGTATATTTTTCGAGCCCCCCTCGCAAGGGGCTCCGAGGGCGGTCGCGGGGGGCGGGCAGCCGCGGTCCGTCGTTTCCCGACGTGCTTCCCGATTCGATGTTCCCCGTGGGCGTGAGCGCGGGAGCACGCACCGTCAAATGCTCGGCACGAAGCCGGGCATTCGCTGTGCAGTGTTGCGCGGTCTCGTTCCCGTCGGGCGGAAAGGGCCCTCTGCGTGGGAGCGGGTGCCCTTGAAGCGCAAGGCCGATTTGACGTTTGTCATGCGGCCGGCGGGGGGGGTTCTCCTGCCCTCAGTACAGACCTTCTCTCAGAGGCTCGGGTCAGTGGGGCAGAGGAACAGCAGGAGGAGTCTCCCCCTTCTGCATTTGCCCAGCTCACGGGAGCCCCCGAGACAGCATATTCAAGCTTTGGGATGGCCTGGCATCGTCCAAGGTGTTCGGGAGTTCGACCATGCAAGCGCGCCTGTCATATTCTCACGCCCCGATTGTCTTAACCACCACGAGGTTACCGGGGTCTCGCCGATGGAAAGGCACCGGGTAGCCTCAAGAGGGGACGACATTCGGGGGGATGCGGAGAAGCAGGCGGTGGTACCATTTTTTCCCAGGCATACGAGGTCTTCATTTTTTCAATACATGGTCCACGGAGGTCCCGACCTTTTTCTAGGGACAAGCTTGTCGTCCTGAGTCGTTGTTTGATAGCCCCAAGGCCCGGTGATGGCCCCCAGAGGCCGACAACGAGGGAAGACACGTTTCGTCCTGATTTTTTACGACGCGAGCACTTTTCGTTTCTTGTCTGGAAGAGCCTTCACGAGAGACAGGCCCAGCTGGGATCCAGGCCGCGCGAGATCAGTCGGATCGCCAGGTGCCTCTGTGTCAAAACCTGGGAGCAGCCTCCATCATCCCGGAGGGTTCCAAAAGCGGTTTTGGGGGAGGGGGGGTTCCCAAAGAGCCCCCCAGGGGCCTCGGAACCTCGTCAAAACAGAGGGTGCGAAGCCCCTGGGGGGCCCCTCCTGGAAAACCCCCTCCCCAAGCACCTCGTTTTTGGAACCCTCCGGGCATCCTGCGATCATCCTGGGACCACTGGCATGGAAAGTTTGTGGAGGTTCGGCGCTCTTACGGTGAGGAGCCATGGCTCAGCGCGTCTCGCCGCTGGTTCTGGCCGACAGCGCTGCGGCGCAACGCGCTGACCACGTCGCGGTCCCCGAGCGTCAACGCCCCAGGCCTCTCGAAGCTTCCCGCCCCCGCGGAGCGGAGCGGCACGCTGTCCGGGTTCGCATGTCGCGGCCCCGCCCAATGTCAGGCGTGCCCTGCGCCCGTGGCGTTTCCAGAGCACAGCGTGTCGCCGGGGCCGCCGCCGCGACACGCCGTGCAGCAGCTCCTGGCAGTCCCCGGGGGCCACATCTTCCCATGTCCCCTGGGGGGGCTGCGATCTGTGGAACGGTCGCCACTTTCGAGAGCTGCTGGGGGGCCAGCCATAGGGGGTTCTTGTCGCAGGCTCAGATTCGACCTCGCCATCCCTGGGGCGCCGCGATCTGCGAAACTGTCGCCACTTTCGAGGGCTGCTGGGGGGCCAGCATCGTGGGTACTTTCGGCAGGCTCGGATTAGACCTCGCCATCCCTGTGGGGCTGCGATCTGTGAAACTGTCGCAACTTTCATCGTCACCCTATTACACCTGACAAGCGCTACCCAGACTACCAAGTACCTTGTCCGGAAACTCATCTTCCACGACTTTCACCGAGTAGAGCTCTCCAACTCTCCAACAGACTTGCGCGTGGTTGGCGCTGCTTTCACCAGCTCCGTGACGAACTCACGAGCAACCGATACCCCCTCCACAGCGAACTACGGCTGCTCAGCGGAACAGTGGCGCCAGCAGTTATGTACGGTTACGCTTCCTGGACGCTCACGAAGGACATGCTCCAAACACTACGACGCACCCAACGACGAATGCTTCGGCTCATCGTGAACACCCCGAGGCGCCGAACGGGACACGACAGCAACACAACCACTAACGCCGACAGTTCCAAGGAGTCTGCCCTCGAAGATGAAGTCAACAACCTCGACAACACCCACCAAAGTGAACAAGACGCAGACCTCGACGATGGTGGCAACGACGACGACGGCCTGGAACCATGATAATGTTCCTTGCGAAGGGCTACGCATACAGCAACAGACGCTGCAAGACGAGCCAACGTGGAAGAATGGACGGTCATATATTTCAGACGCAAGTGGCGGTGGGCAGGGAGAGTAGCTAGACTACCGCCCAACAGGTGGACTTTCCTAGCAGCCTCATGGGAACCACAATCACACGACCCGAGCCCAGCACAGGCGGCAAGGACGACAATGAAAACGGTCGGCAGACGACATCGTGCTTTTCTTACGCACCAAGGGCACTTATGACGACCACGACGACCAGAAACATTACAATTTGTGTTTGTCAGTTGCAACATATTAACACTTATGGAATGATCTGGAATATGATTTCGTATATTACGCCTGTGCCTACTACGACCTATAGGATCTGGTACCAGTTTTCTGTGTTCATTCCACTCTGGTCATTTCTCCGGCTCCCGACTCCAATTTCCGCCTCCCCGATTCCGTTTCCCATCTCTCCGACTCCAGCTGCCATCTATACGACTCAATTTCTCCTCTCTTCCGACTCCAGCGCTGATTCTTCCGGCTCCGACGCCTCTTCTGATGTCTTCGTTTCCGGCTCCGACATGGGTTCGCATTTCTTGCTCCTACCTTTATTTTTCTTTCTTCGACTCCGGCTCCGACGCCTGCTCATTCTTATTTCTCCGACTCCGACCCCGACGCCTCGGATATTTCCGACTCCGAGGCCTCCTCTTATTTCTTCGAGTCCGACGCCGACGCCTGCTCGCATGTTTGTTCCGACGCCTGCTCGTATCTCTTCGACCTTCCGACTCCGACGCCTGCTCGTTCTCCGATCCTGCTATCTGAAATCCGACTCCAGCATCTGAGCGGGCTTCAACTTCTCGGCGCTCTGGCGCCACCGCCGGGCTCTCGTAGGGCCGCCCCCTCGAGGGCGACACACCGGCGCCTCGCCTATTCCACCTGTCACTTTCCACATGCTGCTGCTGTCGCGACGGCTCCCCGCCCCCACAATTCCGTGATTTTCCTGCCCGTCGTTCCCGCCCCCGTTCTTCTGGCCCCAATGAGTCGTGCAACGCGCGCGCACAACAAATCGCCGCGCCTGCACCTTCGTTGTTTCTGCCAGTATTTGCCTGCGTCTCTTTCCACTCGATGCTACTGGGCTGGGTACGTCGCAGGATCATGTCTGTTCGGTCTCTGGGGGCCGTTCTCGGACCCTGGGGCCGTCTAGAGCGGATCCAGGGTGAAGCAGCGAACCGCATGGACCTTCCCGGGGCCGATTCTGAACGGATTTGCCTTTATCCACCCCCCCCTTGTCCGATTGTCGTGGGGCCCATCCAGCGCAGACCCCTCGGGTGCCTCCAACCTGCCTCCTCAATGGATTGGCGGCCGAGCGCCGAGCTTCCCGACCTCCCTCGGGCGCCCCATCGCTTCCCTCACCCCCGCATGCCTCGTCCTCGGCCGCCGGGCCAGCACCTCATCAGCATCATTACCATCATCATCATCATCATCATCATCATCATCATCATCATCATCATCATCATCATCATCATCATCATCATCATCATCATCATCATCATCATCATCATCAGCATCAGCATCAGCATCAGCATCACCATCATCAGTATCATCATCAGCATCATCATAATCATAAACATCATCCCTCCTCCTCCTCCTTCTCCTCCCTCCTCCTCCTTCATCCTCGCCCTCCTCCTCCTTCATCCTCGTGCGACCAGGAAGGTCTCGGGCGCGATGCCAGGTGGACATGAGCCTCGTGGACGGGTGGACTCTGCCGTTCAAGTTCGAGATGCAGGGTACCTGTTGGGCCGCGGAGGGCAACAGACAGGCCGTCGCCGTCACAATCACAATCAATGTTTGGGGTGCGGAGGGCAGCAGTCTCACCCGCAGGGGAAGATCGCACTGCACGAAGCAGCCACCAGATGGCGGGAGGCATCCGTGCTGCAGCCATCCTGCATGGTAGGTGCGTTTCGTGTCTGCGCGGCTGCGACCCCGACGCGGGCGTTCAAGGTAGAATGCCGCCAGTGGCCCAGAATCATCCAACATGGAACGATCTGGCGATCGACCAGCCGCCGATCGCTCAAGGATTAACGGCCTGCGCGGTGTCAGGAACCAACGCCGAAGAACCCGCCGTGTCCGCCTCTTATGGTCATCTCCGTGTTTGTCATTGTCTTCGTGTTCCTTGATGCCCTTTTTACGGTGTGGGTAGGGGCCGCACCTCGACGACCGATTGTCCCTGACCTGTTGGAGGGCGAATGGGCCCGCATGCATTCGTCAACACATGCGGTAACGCACTATTGTCAGGCGTCTGCGTCCTCTGAGCGGGACGTACCTGGCTCTATAGTGCGCGTTTACGGGAAGGGTGGTAGCATGTACTCCAGATGGGCCTTGTTGTGGTGCATGCTGCCAGCTTCAGATGATTTTGCCCAGAGGCCTCCTGCGACGGGCCTTCGTTTTGCACGAAGCGCTGTGGTCCCCGCTTTCCTCCTCCTCCTCCTCCTCCTCCTCCTCCTTCTCTTCCTCTCTCCTCCTCCTCCTCCTCCTCCTCCTCCTCCTCCTCCTCCTCCTCCTCCTCCTCCTCTAAAGCAGTGACAAAGCGTCCCGGCTCGCCTATAGCCCTACCGAACAATGTTCTAGGAACCTTTTGTGGTTCCCACGAAATGTTCTGAGAACATTTCTGGCGGAGTCTGACTAGTTTTAGCACATCGGGTTTATGTTCTAAGAACATTATTTTTGTTTTTGGAGCGTTTTTCGGTTCTGAGAACATTTCGTGGTAGAGCTATGCTCCTCCTCCTCCTGCCTCCTGCCTCATGCCTCCTCTCCTCCTCCTCCTCCTCCTCCTCCTCCTCCTCCTGAAGACCAAACAGTTGGGGCCCGACCTACCCTGGGGCCCAAGTCACAATTTGGGCACGCAGAAGTATTTCAGCAAGTCCATACCCTCGATACTGCGTCACGGCAATAGTGGAACTAGCGGCCTCAACCAATTTCACGACCGCCGCGCCAATATATGGACTCGGTCACCGGACCTTGGGAATTGGGCTGTGGAGAACAATGCTCAATAATTTGACTATCTCACTCGAGCCGCTTTCGAGCGGAATACTATCGGTCCGAACATGGAAGCAGTGCACGCACACATGAAACAGCTTCAACGGCTTTGACAGCCATGGCAAAACGCGGGCGACTACTACATCATCGCTGTCTTCCGCTTCCTGCAGCTGCACATTGATGATGACAAGGCCTGCTTCCAGATCTTTGTCCGCCGCCCTGATCCGTCCGCTCTAGATTCCGACTTTGCATGGGACCAGCCAGTAGCCATTCGAGCTACCGGCGGGCAGAGCAATGTCCAAAAGATGAGCAGACCATGAAAAATGGAATGGAAACGCATACCTTGGACAGGCGTAAAGTACTTGCATCATGCCACCACCCGCGATGCGCGGCCCAGCATTCGCAAGACGGGCATCATTCCTGGGTATGGAGCAGAGCGTCATACTCGCAAGGTAGCTTTCTTCAGCTCGTGCTCATATGTGCACGGCGACGGTAACAACCCACACACCAATATCAAGGGCTACAGGTTCGATCACAGAGAAGCATGTGGACGTCGTTATCGACATGCGGGCTGCTACTGTAGCCGGGTGTGACTTCTGGGTTCGAGAACAAGGTGCCGTCATGTGTCCCCAGACCATCCCTCGCATGGCCATCCTCGCGACACGCGCGGTCGGTGGACGTCTTATGTACCCCGAGCACAACATACCCTGGACTCACTCTCCGCTGGAAAAGCTGGCTGGACCACGAAGTCAGTGCGCAGTCTGTGATGTTGTGCCGGTGGCAACACCTGCAGCGAAACCCATGCCGATGCCGCCGTCGCACCGCATGCCCAACGTCGCATCTCCCAGGCCCCGCGGATCCGTGGCTAGTTCAGTTGCTCCTAAGATCGAGAATAGTTCTTCTTCTGCCATGCCGCGCATCGTTGGGCAGCCCGCACAGGCGGTTGCCCCCGGCGACATCAAGGTCGACGCGCAAGATGTCCTCCGTCTCGACGCGTATCTGGCTGCACCTACCGTTAATCCATACGTTCAGGTGCCGGCGGAGACACTCACACCCCAAGAAGGTGCGAACCCACCGGCCTTGGCGCAGCAGGACATCGTGGAGACGCAGATCAGTATCGACTGGTGGAAAATCGTGCAGGATTGCAAAGAGGATTACTTTGAGCAGCTCGTCAAGGACTTGCCCAAGGGCAGCTGGGACCGCGCGCCGCGTTTCGGAGAGAAACGCTACGGTGACTTCATCTACGCGCGTTGGTTTGGCACGTCTCGGCGCAGAGCTGTTGCCGCGCCATATCCCGCCATCAAACAGAGGACCCTCATCTTGAATAAAGGCCAGAGATCTGGTCCCATCATAGACGTCGAACACAAAGGACCGTACGTCACTGTTTTCTGTTTTGATCCCGTTTCGTGGCCCTGGCCCCTTAGTGGGTCAACATCTGGTACTATGACCATGGCAACGAATAACATGAATTCAGATTCGCAGTGCCCCTTCATGCTGATTTCCCGGAGTCGACGCTCCGTCACTTCGAGACGTGGGACATGGATGACAACTTCGGGTTATCCGGCGATGACGCAGTCGTTGATGCGCCGGTGGAAACACCCGCAACTCACGACGCACCCGTCACCACCGAGTACGACGACAACCGAGCCGTCAGAGTCGATGAGCAAATAGCAATGACCACCATCCAGATAACCGAGGACCCCGAGGCTGCCTTTGGGACTCTCTCGGAACAGTTCTTTGAGAAAGTCAAGGACGGCCCTCGGATTTGCCGCGCCAAAGTATAGTTGAACGCATTGTTCTGCGAGGTTGAGCAGGTCTGTATCGTGAAATGGTCAGATGACAAATACCATTAGCTCAGTCGCCTCGACATCAGTTTTCGTTTCAACATTGCCACGCCGCACTACCGCATGAAGGCCGACCCCCGCAGCCCATGGGCTCTGCAGTTACCCAGCGCCTGTGGACACAACTGGTCTATCCATGCGTTGATGCGGAACGTGGGCACGGAAGACGATGGCGAAGTTGTGATTTCCCATTCGGTTTCCCTACCTATACGCAATTGTCATTAAGGACGCCACCAAGCGCCCAGTGGAGACATCGCAAGACGACATCCACAACAACCATCCTGCCCTCGAGTTGCCCCCCAATTTATGGGGAGAAAATGTGCAGACGAAAAAGAAGTGCGAGAGCTATTTGGGCGACCCGATGGAGATAGACATCGACCCCTGAAGCCCGGACCCCCTAGATCACAGGCTGCCGCCTTTCCGAACCCTTCCAGTTCCCCTGGTCTTGGCCCTGATCCAGGCAGCGCAGCGTCCGCTGCTGCCCCGACCCAGGAACGGATTATTGCGGCCCTGCGAACATATTACGGTGCCAATCTGGAAGGCGCCGCGAGAGATGAGAAGGAGGCCGAGCTCCTCGCAAAGGCCGAACAGATCATGGCTGAGCATCAGGGCGCGGCCTCAGCTCACCACTCTCGCTGGATTATATCGGCAGGTTACCCTTCCGATCCGATGACTGAAAAGGGATTGGAGTCGCTGGCCGCCGATCTTGCCACCGATCGTGCTCATTTGATCCCGGATTGTGCTTTCCGTGATGTCGGTGGATCCTCGAGCGCCAGCGGAGACGCCCGCGCCCGCATGGAACGGCTCATAGAGGAAGGCGCCAGGGATATACATATTGAAAAGCGCCACTGTTACAGCTGCTACCGTGACCCCCGATAACTTCGACGGCGGCACCTGCAAAATGCGCCGGACATCGCGACATTTCGGGGAGACGGGTGCAGCCCAGATTCAGTTCCTCGCCGGCGTTCATCAGTGGGTTCGGAACAATTTGAACGCCTTGATTGTCGATCAGATCCTGCGCGCGGACGTCGGCATTCGTTTCCAAGGCGCGCGCTCCGATGAAGTGGAAGAAAAGAATATCCTCCGCAGGCAAGCAGCAAAAGCAGAGAAGCGTCATGCCAAATGGGTCGCTGCTGGTTTTCCCTGCTGGCACGTGTGTTCGCTGCGTTGCTGCAGGGCTGTCCGAGGATGTGCGTCGTCGGCTGTCTGTGCGACGCTGTTTCAAAAATTTCAGCGCTGCGCGTTGAATTCCAGTTCGGTGTTGGTATCGGGGTCGTGCATTGGGTCGCGCGCGTCTGGTTCTGGAGCGGTCGGCTGTAGTAAATCTAGTCGTTCCATGTGTGACGTGCTCTGGCGTTGACACTCCTATCGGGGTGTTGTTGGGTCTTTTGGTTGATGCTGTGTTGGCCCTAGTGGCCTCAGTGACGGTGGCATCCCCGATGCCGCCGTGCCCAGTCGGTTTATGGGGGTTTGGTCGCTGGCACCTCCGTCGACGCCACTGCTGCCCCTGTAGTCGTGGTGGTTCACGGGGGCGATGTTCCACTCATCTGCTGGGTCCACTGCGCACTGGCCGTTGCCCGCGGCAAAGCGTGCTGAACGGCGTGGCGCTGACTGCGGCCGGCTTAGTTCTGCGCGCTTGCGGAATGCGCGAATTGCTTCCGATGATTGGGCGGGGGATTTCGGCGGCAGCGATGCTGATCTGTTCGGTGGCGTGCCAATATGGAATTTCGGTGCTGGTCGGGAGCCGACAGGTGCCATGCACTCCGTTGGTGATATGGTTTGCTTCCATTGGCGGTGTGCATGGTGTCGCTTCGGCTGTTCCAGTTGGTTGGTGCAGTGGTCCCTCTTCGTCTGCTATCGGTGTCGGGGCGTCGTCTCCTTCGAAGTCGCTGCGCTGGATGTTGACCTTTTCCGCCCAGCTGAGGTAGTAGTCGTCGTTCCTTGGCTGGGTTGAAGCTGGTTCCCACGGCTGGACTTGATGTAGTATAGGTTTTTCGTTCTGCGCATGCCGTGACATTTGAGTAGCCCCGCCAGCTTCCGGCATGGTGGCTGCGTGCTCGTCTTCAGATGTCGTCTTCGCGAGGTTGAGCAGGTGCTTCTCGCGTTGGTAGTCGTCCCTTTGGGTCTGGGTGCCGTGGCCCTGGATGCCGGATATCTCGGGGTCGCGATGGCGATGAGCTGAGCTCCCTGGTCGGTCTGTTGCCGTCATGTTCTTTGTGGCGCCCGAAGGAAAGTAACACTGGATCGAGAGTCGTCGTCCCTGAGCTGGTTGGCGAGGTCGTGGACGAAGTCTTGTTCTCGTTCCTTCTGCATGGCGTGGGTCTCTGAGTGGGCGCCCTCGAGTTGCCTTGCTTTTTGCTCCATGTGTGTCTCTGTGGCATCTTGCTTGTTGTGCAGCTGTAGGAGGAGTTGCTCCTGCGTCTCTATGGAGGTCTTTGCGGCGTTGAGCTGGCGTTGGTCTTAGTGTACGCGTTCAGCCTGTAGCTCCGCCGTCGCCGCGCGAGCCCCTTCGCGCTGGCGGGGCTGGGCGGTGCAGTTCTGCGCGTCCTCGGTCCGTCCCTCTAGTGCCTGGATGATCTCGGTCTTGTTATGGCATTGCTTCTCCTCGGTGTGTATGCTCTGCTTTTGTCCGTAGATCTCGTTCTCGAGGTAGTTGGCCCTTGGCCCTGAGAGGTTCTAGTTGCACTGGATGAGCTTGCGGGCCCGGCTCTCAAACTTCGCGTTCTTGGCTTCCGCTGTCGCCAGTTCACGCCGATTTTTTTCTTATGCGTGCTGTTGGCCATGGGGTTGATGGACTGCGTTTCTTGTCTGCTGTAGGTCGTTGATGATGATGTGGTGTTGGTGCTCTAGGTGATGCGTGGATTCATCTTTCTCCTCTAAGCTCTTCTCTAGGTTGTTGTACTTAATGAGCGTGTCCGAAGCTCGTTGCTGCCGCGGTCGGTGCATTTGTTGTCGTGCTTCTTCGAGGGTTATTTGTAGGTACTCGCTGGTGGTGGCTGTCTCCTCGTAGCTCTCGTAGTATTTATTGTCTTGACTCCTGGGAGATGTTGTGGTTATGGTCGACGGTCTGGCGCATGATGTTGTTGGCCTCGCGGAGCTCGTTCCTGAGGCGTTCGATGGTGTTGCTGTCTTGTTCGGTCTTGTGAGCACTGTGCTCTGCGATCTTCTCGGTGGCGTCCCTGCTGGTGTGAGTCTCCTTTTTGTGCTCCTCCATCCGGTCCTTCCCGTAGCGCTGGACCCTGCGGTAGTTTTCTTTTTCGTTCTTGTAGTCGGACTCATTCGCTTCTTCGAGCTGGTTGATGATGGCTTTTTGATGCGCAGCCTGATTTCGTTGTGTTTCGACTTTCTCCTGTGCTTCTTGTAGTTTTTGTCGCAGCTCGTTGACGGTGGAGGTCTCCGTGGGTGCTTGAGTCGCTAGAGGTGCTGTTGACATTTCCCCGATGAGTCCTCGATGGCGTCTTGCAATGTTGGGGGCAAGGGTGCCGGAACGTTGTTGCGTTGTGCGCTTCCTGGGCGTTGTTGCTGACTCGGCGTCCGCATCGTCGTCGGAGTGTGCCCTCCTGGTGCTCTCGTGAAGCTTTCGAAGTTGGCGATGTCGGCTTCCCAGCACTGTAGCATTTTGCTGGGGTTCCTCAAGCTGTTGTTGTGAGTCGTCCATCTGTGTGACTGTGTCGTTGGTCGTGTTCTCGGCTTCTCTTCGCTGGTCCTTGGCGCCATACGAGTATAGTAGCATGGCCTCTGCATGCGGATAATTGTTGCGGTGCTCCTTGATTCTGCCGAAACGATGCATTGGGGGTGGCTCGTTCCAATGCTGTTGTCTTCTGGCTTCGGTGAGGGTCATGGGGACGATGTTGGCAGCCGTCTCTTTTCTCTTCTCCTGTCTGCGTTGCACGTTAGAGGCTGTGCTGTTGTTTTTTGGCATATTTATTTTGGTCCCATGGAGCTGCGGCTGCCCGTGCCGCGGGTGTCGTCACGGCTGCGGGCGCGCCATTGTGTTCGAGGGGCTCCTGTGGTGTCCCTTTGGTGTTGCTGGCGTCGGTGCTGGTAGTGCTGCTGGTTCCACTGTTTGTTGTGGTAGCTGCCGACTGGAGTTTGAGCCATCTTGGGCGCCATGGTGGTGGCGGGAGGTTGTGGTGGCTGCTGAGAGCTGTGGTTGTCGGAGAGAAGTTGTCGTGCTCGATCGGGGCGGAGGAGCACTCGAGCGTCGGCACGCTCGCGGCGTAGGCGACGGTGCCAGGCAGGCGACCGTGGACGTCGGGGTCGGCCCCCCGCGGGTGCTGCGGTCGAGGCCCGCTGGATTGAGGACGTGGTGGTCCCGTGTGGGGCGGGTATGTCGTCGAGGTAGATGATGTCGCCGAAATCAACGAAGACGACGTATCGCAGCAGGCGCCGTCGGTTCCTCCTTGGCGAGGGGAAGGGTGAGAAGGATGGGATGAATGTAAGTTGAAAAAGTGCATAGTGATGATAGGAAAGATGTCAGGGGGATCTGGCGCGCGGGCCAAACAGAGGTGCAGTAGGCCACGCTAGGCGCGGCCGCGGTTCCTCCTCCTTCTCCTCCTCCTCCTCCTCCTCCTCCTCCTCCTCCTGGGGTGGGGGGGGGGCTCCGGGGTCGCCCCAGGGGCCTGCTGGCGTCTTGGAGCCATCTGGGATGGGCGCCGTCGTCGTATATGCACCGGCAGTCGGTGGAGCTCCCCAGGGGGGCCACCAGGCGTGTGCAAGGGGGCGAGCCAGCATGGGTGCGGTGCGCGCGTGCAGACGCTGGCGTGTGGGCCTTCGGTGGGGCTCGCCGTGGGGCCACGGAGCGTGTGCCGGGGTGCGGGGGCTCCTGCGGGCCCTTTTGGGGATTTCGTCGGGGCCAGAAGGGGACTTCTCCCGTAACCCTCGTGGGGCTCTCTATATTCCCACCATGGGCTCGTCTAGGGATCTCAGGGGTCCCCAGACGGGGTGGCGACCACACTGCGTGGTGAGTTAGTGGGGATTCGGGGTCACCGCGCGGTTTTGAGACTGAGGTCGTTCTCCGAGGATGTCTCGGGCGGCTGGGACCTCCAGTGTCCCCAAGCCGTGCGGTGACGGGTCGCGCGGTGAGGTCTCTTGGGATTTCGAGGTCACCACGCGGTCCGACACTACACGGTTCTGGGGCCGAAATGTCGGCTTGCCTCGCGTTCTTACTGTTGGATGCGGCGTCAAGATGGAACCTTGCGTTGGGCTGTTTCCTTCGGGATTCATCGCGTGCCTTTCTCGCTTCAGGGTCTCAAGCGACAACGTTTGTTCCACGGGTCTTTGCGTTCGAGCATCGGATTTTGTGATACACAGCTTCAGCGAGGAAAGATGTATAGCCTTGTTCCGTGCTCGCATGTATCAGGCTCGGGCATGCACCCCTCTCACGGGTTCTAGCCTGGAACTTCCTTTTGTTTAGTTTATGCTGGTCTCTCTTTCTCTCTCTCTCTCTCTCTCTCTCTCTCTCTTTCATTTCCCAATTAGAGCTTGCCTCTGTAGGGGCCCTTGCGGATTTATATGGTTAGGTTAGGGTTGCCGCCGATTTTCGCGGCACGCCCGGGTGCCCGGGTGCCCGGGGGTGCCCGGGTGCCCAGGGGTGCCCGGGGGTGCCCGGAGGCCCGCAGGTGCCCGGGCGTGCCTGGGGGTGCCCTGGTGCCCGGGTGCCCTGGTGCCCGGGTGTCCGGGCGTGCCCAGGGGGGCCTGGGGGTGCCCGGGGGTGCCCTATAGCCCTATAGCCTTATAGCCCTACAACTCTATTGACCTATAGCTCTATAGCCCTATATAGCAAAATATTCATATGGTTAGGTTAGGTTTGCCGCCGATTTTCGCTGCACGCACGCCCGGGTGCCCAGGTGCCCGGGGGTGCCCGCGGGTGCCCGGGTGTCCGGGTGCCCGGGTGCCCGGGCGTGCCCGGGGGTGCCTGTGGGTGCCCGGGGGGGCCCTATAGCCCTATAGCCCAATAGCCCAATAGCCCCATAGCCCTACAACTCTAATTATAGCCCTATAGCTCTATAGCCTTATAGCTCAATAGCCCTATAGCCCTATAGCCCCCTAGCCCTATAGCCCTGATTGGGGCTTTTCTCCGGTATCATTTTCTCTCTCTTCCTCTCTTTCTCTCTCTTTCTCTACGGATGGCGCTGCCGGGAAGTCTTCCAGGCGCGTGAGGTAGGAGAGATGTTTCGAGCCGACATCTCCACAGGTCGAGTCGGTGGTCGACTGCTCGAAGTTGTCCCTCGACGAGTGCCCGATGGCGGAGGAGGGGCATCACAGCGGAATCCGCAGCGGGTCCTGCCAAGTACGCGCAAGCATCCGTTCACCAATTATTCTGCCCCATTCTTACTCAAGAGGTTTGCGCCATTCCGCCGACCCCCAAGCAAGGAGATGTGCGGGTTCCGATTTGGTGTGCTTTGTTCGCCGTTTTTCGTCGTGCTGCCTGCGTGTACGGTAGGTTCGTGTCGTGCCGACCGTCGGCGACCCCGCCACCAGCGTTCAACGTTGAACGCCGCCGGCGACCCAAAATCGGTCGATGCTGAACGAGCTGGCGTTTCGGAAACGCCTGATCGTTCCAGGTTGAACGATCTCCGCGGTGCCAGAAACCAACGCAGGGGTCGACACGACACGAATCTGCCCTAGTTGTTGCTGGTTTGTCCTCCTCTTCCTCCGGGTCTGTTGCGGGGGCCTCTTGGGAAGCCTCGGTGGTGGCCTCCTGGGAGCCTTTTTTTCAGGCGCCCGCCGTCTTGGGTAATTCTCCTGGAGGCTTCGCGGGCCGTTCTTGGGTTCTCAGCAGCTCGACAAGGTCCGAACGCGAATCTCATCCATCGCCCACGGTGAATCAGTGATTCGGGCCTCTGGAGGCCCTGTTCGGGGTCCTGTATGGGAGCTCTTGGGCGTCTTCGTGGCCTCTGGGGCCATCTTGAGGTCTCTCGGGCGTGTTGGGGCCATCGTCGAGCCCACCTGCAGGTACACTGGGCGTCCTGGCGGCCCCGGAGGGCGGATCGGGAGGCCCCGAGGGCCCCGGAGGTGAGCGGGGGGGAGCTCGTGCGGCCGCGCCCCCCCCCCCCCCCACGGGACTTGGGACCCCAGGGGAGGGGGCAAACGGGGGAGCGGGACAGCGAGTCATCTCACACGCCTCTTCGCCTCCGTTGCGCGGGGGGATCGGCGGGTGCTCCCGACACCATCGATGTTCTATCGCGTCCTGCGGTCCCCCGTCCTCTCTTCTTCCTGGCCGGTCGGTGCGGCACCGCCTCGCGCAACGGATCCTGGAGGTCACCTCTGGTCGTGCCGCAGCGATCGCAGATGATTATGATGGTCGCGGGCATGTGTGGGCAATGTCTCCCCACGGTTAGCGATTGTCGAAATGATGGGGAGCACGTCTGTAGGTGTCCGCTTCTGCAAAAGTGTTGGACCCGCGCTAAGAGGCAAGGGAAACATGGTAGTAATGCGCCTTGGAATGTGTGGCAGCGAAGTTGCCTATAGCTTTCGAGGTAGCTGGCCGCAGTCTGGATCGAGTAGCGACAGTTTCCGAATGCATAGTTTGTCCAGTGTTGCAATGCGACAACTTGTGGCAATAGTAGAAATGAGGAGCCTTTGGAACGCGAAGAAGAACACTAGAGCGCACGGGATGGACTTGGCGGTGGCAGCGACAACGATGTGGCAGTGACAGAGCATGTAGCATGCAGGTTTGCATGGCCGTCTTGTTGCCAGCGTTTGTTTATTTGCGACTGCACGAGAGGGGGGGCACACCAATGACGATCAGCTACTGTATGAGCACCTGGCGGTCAGCGGGGGGTGATTGAGCCGACCACGGCCACACTGAATCCAACGGCAAGCAGCGACCGCCGACAGCTCGATGTGGTCATCATTTCATATGGTCGATGTGTACACCTTAGGCGATGCTTAAGAGAACTTAAGTTTTCGGCCAGAGTCTCGATTATTCTTAATGTTTCAATGTAAATCCTAAGATTTTAATAGAAATGATGGGTTTTTATTCAAGTTCTGAGACTATGAATTTCTTAACCCATGATTTCTTAAGCATTTCACAGGGTGTACCCGTGCGCTTGAATCTGGGCATCTGGCGATCGCCACATCGGTCTTTATGGCACGGCGCTCTCATTGTAGCCAGGCGTGCCTGAGGCTATTGTTGGATCGCTTCTCGAGATCAGCCGAAGCTGCCACAGTCACTCCAGGGACACGCGGGAGGGCAACAGCAGAGAGCGAGTGTGATGTTATGCCACCAGCCGGAATGGTTTCAGCGCGAGTGCATCAGGACGCCGGCCTTGCTGGAGATTGGCTTGCCGATTTGCAGGTTGTCCACCCTGGTACAGGCAATCCGCGCGCCCAGCAGGTCCGAGTGTGTGGTATTGCCTGCAGATATGACTGTCCACGCTCGACCTATCGTTCGTCGAGCAGCGAACCATTCTTCTTTCGCCCTGCACCCTACCGCGATTGTCAGAGCTGTCAAGATATGTGCGAATTCACCTGGTTGGAGTTCAGCCCATCCCTATGCATCGTTACGGATGGTTCTGCGCATTCAGCAAGCATCCCAATCGCGGCAAACCACATTGCGCGTATCGGCTTGGATGGAGGTGAACAGCACACGTGTTGGAGCAAATGGATTTGATATACAAGAGCGGGCTTACAACATATTCACATGTTCTGCTGCGAAGCCGACATGTTCGCCCGTTTAACGCGATCTCAAGCACGCCGTGTTCCTGAAGCTTGAAATCATATCGCTAGGACAGCTAACTCAGTGCAGTCGAATTTAGGTTGGCGGCTATCATTGCCGTGTGGATTAGTTCTGCGACCGCTAGCGAACTTTACCCCTGCGGGTCCAACCGATGTCGGAGTTTTGGACACGCCCGCTGGGGTTCATTTGCTGCATACATCTTTCGAATTCTGCACCCCAGCCAGGCTTTTAGACATCTGACTTGCAGAGGTCGGATTCACATGCGGCTGCCTAGGATCCTGAAGCGTTCGGTGACGTGGCATTCGCAGGAAGGCAGGGCAATCCTCTATATCACACAGCAGCATCACATGTATGCATCGCGGTTGGGATGCCCGATGAGTATGTGTATGTCCCCTGTTCGTGGCTGCAAGGCTGGCCTTAAATGCGAGCCGATTCTGGACTTGCTTGTTTCGAACACTTGCAGCGCCTGCGGGAACTCCTGGGTAATGTTTGCTTCTGTCGAAAGAGTGCCGTGGCTTGCAAGGATTAGTGGACGCTGATGCGCTTCCGATGCAATCTGGCAGTGGTATGCATTCGTCACAGGAGCCACGACGCCCGAACAAGAGCCGAAAGACAAACGCATCCTGTTGCGCTTCAACCGCGGTCATGCTGTCGCGCCCCAGAACCCTCTTGCAGTTCTGACTGAACGGCGAAGGCCACGACGACGGCGGCGGCGGCAATGGCGACGACGACGGTGGCCACGGCGAAAGCGAGGAGGAGGAGGAGGACGACGACGCCATGGCACACAGTGGGCCGCTACGGCCCCAGCAGCAAGCTCACGCTGGCCACGACGGCGCCAGCGATTGCGACCACGATGATGGCGGCGGGGAAGGCGGCGACGAGGAGGATGACGATGCCATGGCTGCTTTCACAGTTGCTCTTCGCCCTCGTGGGCATCTCGCAGCTCGTCTTTCATTCCACCTCTGAATGCCGGTCCCGCTTCCGCACGTGCCTGCATCGTAAGTTGTTGACCACCGTGTCTGAGCCGGTTTCAGTCTGCACTCTGACGCCACGCAGCTGGTCGCCAACGCAAAAGAGGGCGACGCCAGGCCACACGGTGGGCTGCTACAGCCCCTGCAGCAAGCTCACGCTGGGGCACTGGCAGAACGACGCCGCGAGCGGACTGTCCCCGGTGTCCCCCGAGGCGAGCGCATCGCCGCTGCCGTCGTCGTCTTCGTCGTCGTCTTCGTCGTCGTGGTCGTCGTCGTGGTCGTCGTCGTGGTCGTCGTCGCTCGAGGTCGTCGTCGTCGCCGCCGTCGCTCGAAGTCGTCGTCGCCGTCGCCGCTGCCGTCGTTCCTCTCGACGGCCGAGGGTAGAAGCCAATGTGGGCGCCCCTGGCCGTTCTCGGGCCTCTGGGGGCCTCCAGGGGCACGCATTCCCCCCACCCCCCCGCCTCCGCCCCCCCCTCACAGTGCCTTCCACCGGGCCGTGGGCGAGCCGCCGAGGATCTGGAGCAGCCTCTTGGGTGCTTCCCGGGCGCTTCTCAGGGGGCGGGTGGAGGTCTCGGGGGGGCATATCGGGGGATGGTCCCGGAGGCCCCTGCGAATTGCCCCCTTGGGGCTCTGAGTGGGGCTTTCTCGGAGGCCTCTGCGACACCTCCCGGGGGCTCGGGGGCCGTCCGATGGCGATCTTGGGGACCTCCCGAACCGTTTTGGTCGCCCGTGAAGCCGAAGACGGATAAGCGAATCCTAGAAGCAAGAATCTGGGGACTGTCACAACTTTGGCTTGTAGGCCAGCCTTCGGGACTTCCGAAATGGCGCAAGGGTCGGGGGCGGAAAAGAGGGGGGTGATGACTAGGGGGGGGTGGATATCATGGCGGGGGCCATGATATCTCCGCAGATTTCATGGCGCCTCTTCTTATTTCGTTACGTCCCTGGCCCCCCCGCTAGGCCGCGCACATGCCGCCGGTCATGATTTGCACCCCCCCCCTCTTGGACACCCCCCTCTTGGCCGCTCCCGAAAGGGGCCCTCGAGGGATTCCCAGGGCGGCCCCACGGGGCCGCCTGGGCCATGCGTTCCCAGGCGCCCTCGGCGGTGCCGTACTGCTGCCCCCGCCCGCGCGTGGAAGCATCCGGGCAGCATGCCCTCGTGCGCCGTAATTCCTCTGCTGGAGGTCCTTCTCCTCCTCCTCCCCCTCCTCCTCCTCCTCCTCCTTCTCTTCCTCCTCCTCCTCCTCCTCCTCCCTCCTTCTCCTCCTCCCTCCTCCTCCTCCTCCTCCTCCTCCTCCTCCTTCTCCTCCTCCTCCTCAAGCGGCTCGGGCCTGCGGCGGGCCCTGCGGCGGGCGGGCCCTCGGCAGGCTCCGCGGGCGGGCGGGCGGGCCGAGTAGTGGTCGCGCGCGCGGGCCTGCCAGTGCTTTGGGGCGACGAGATCTATGCATATCCACTGCTCCTGGCCAGGCCCATCCTGGGCCCAGGAGCGGTGTATATGCCTCCCTGGCCAAGCCAGGAGGGCGTATACACAGCTCTTGGGCCCAGGATTGGCCTGGCCGGGAGCAGTGGATATGTATAGATATCGTCGCCATGCTTTGCCAAAGCGGTATAGTTCTGGAATGGTATGAGGTCGGCGCAAGCTCTCAGTGCCCTGTACGAACGATTGGTAAAGCGCTCGGCCCTCACGGCCCTCCTGTACGTTGCGTCTTCGGGGGACCTCGCTTGTCCCCCAAATTGGTGTCTTGTCTTGTACCCAGCGCGGGCTCGATGCGGCCTCGACGCGGATTTGGCGTAGACTCGACGCGGATTCGACACGCGTTCGACACGGATCTGACGAGTCCGGCATGGATTCGACACCGATTCGGCGCGGATGGGGCCGAGAGGGGACAGAGGAGGCCCCCCGAAGATGCAACAGAACCTCCTTGCCCCCTCTCGTCGTCTCGAGTGAGGCGCAGCCTGCCTGCTCTCGGCAAGGCTAGGCCGAGCCGGCCCCTCCCCCTCCCTCGCCCTTCCTCCTGCCACTGCGCGCGTGTCCCACCCCACTGCGTTCCAATGATTCGCGGAGTCACTGTATCATGCGCTCTGGCCTCTCAGCGCGCACGGCGCACTATGGAGCCGTCCCGCTGGACGGATGTTTAGCCGCCGCTCCGCGCCGCTGCCCACCCTTTCGTGAGGGACCCCCCAGCCACCAAATCCAGGCAAAGCGGGGAGGGGGGGGGTAGTTTCGAACCCCCCTTTGGCAAGCTGAGCCAGGGCTGACTCCGGGCCCCGAAAAGGGGGGGAGCGGGGGGTATCCTAGTTTCCACGCCCCCCCCTCCCAGCTTAGCTGGGCCCCCCCAGTGAACACGTGCCCACAAAACGTGTGGAGGGGGGGTACCTTCGGACCCCCCCCCCCTCCTTGTCCAAGGGAGAAGGGGGGGGGGCTAGCTTGAAGCTGGGCCCCCCGTTTTAGTAAGGAGCGTTCCACGGACGCGCTCTTTCTGGGATGCGCATGCCGCATTTCGCAGAGAAGGCGAAGCGGCACGCCGCCCCACCGCCGCCTCCCTTCCCCTGGGGCAGGAGACTTATGGACATGGTGGTTTCAGCGCTAAGGACTATGCGCTCGCATTCTTCCAGCCCCGAGGCTGTGCCGTACTGCTGCCCTACTCCGCCGTCTTCGCCGGGCGCTTGCCGCAGCGGTCCGATCGGCGAGACCAGGCAGGCCCGCCTCCATGACACTCGGCGTTCTTTTCCGCGCTCTGGTGGTGCTGCTCCTCGCTTGCAGCCTAATGTCCAGGCGCACGGCACCACATCTCCCTTCCTATGTTTCCGCACCTTCGTCCATCCCGCCTCTTCCGTTTCTCCCCTTCTCTCAGCCTCTCTTTTGTGTCTATGTTGTTGTCTTGCTTGCTATATGTATGTGCTATTGTTTTCTTATTATCTCTCTCTCTTTCTCTTTCTCCCTCTCTATCTCTCGCTCTTATCATGTCTTCATTTCGATGTGCATCTGCGGAATTGAACGCGCACACACACACACACACATTTCGACCATGTCGCCGTCAGTTACATATTGATCTCTCTCTCTCTCTATCTCTCTCCCCGTCTCGTCAATGCTGTTTCTTCACTCCCGGTGGGGAAAAGGAAACGGAGGCGCACACACACACACACTCACACAAACACACACGCAACCACACACAGACACAGACACAGATGCACGCACGCACACACACATACACACACACGCACACACAAGCGCACACACATTTATACACTCTGAGTTACAACTTCCCACGCGCGCACGCACGCACACGCACACACGAAGACGCACACACACACACACACGCACACTCTCACACACACAAAGACACAGACAAATGCATACACACGGACACCTACACAGACACAGACACAGACGCACACACACAATCATACTCTTTCTCTCTCACACACACACGCACAAACACCATTCACAGGCGGTTATGGTGCGACTTGGGGAAAGGAGTCGGGGTGTGCCTTCGAATGTGGCTGCCGGCGGCGGCGACGGCGGCGGCGATGTCTGCGGCGGTGGCGACCTCGGAGGTGGCGGCGACAGCGGCGGATGCGAAAGGTACGTGCAGGCCGTGCATCAGAATTGTCCTGGAGTCTACGGATATTCTTACGACGACGGCATGGGCTTGCTCAGGTGCACCTCAGAGACAACTTATGAGGTCACCTTCTACTGCCCGACAACTGCGCATCAGAGCAGGACTTGGGGGACAGAGCGCAGGACGTGCCACGCAGTCGTAACACCTGCTGTTCTGCCATCCGTAAAGGCTCCGCGGCGAATCAATTGTGTGATCGCCGTGGCAGTCCAATATCACCGGTGACATACCTTTCTATCGCAACAGACATACAGATACTTTTTTTCGCAGATTTACCCCATTGTTTTTCGTGTGTATATCATATAACTGGCGCCAAGAGCCCCGGGGACCGGGGCTGCACACTTTTTCAAAACTCCCCCCGTAACCGACTTTCGTCCCCGGCGCTGGCGGGCACTTGTGAACGCTCGAGGGCGTTCCTTGCGCCTCGAGGGCTCTCCTCGGCGCCCGCAGCAGACGCCCAGAGGCCGCCAAGACGGCCCAAGAGCGCACCAAGCCGCCCAAGATGGCCCCATGATGGCTCTGAGAGGACCCCAAGAGGCCCCAAGAGCGCTCCGGGAGGACCTCCAAGAGGGCCCCACGAGGCCCAAATCATTCATATTCGGTGTTGTTTTCAATGTGTTTTGCGTTCTCGCGTTTTCGAGTTTTCGACGCCCCAGGGCTGCCCGAGAAGCCTCCAACCTTACCCCAAGAGGCTCGTAAGAGGCCCCCGAGACGGCCCGAACTCGAGTTCCCTTATGCCAGGTCGAGTTTACCTTTCCGCGCGATTTCAGAAGAAACGCACCTTCCACTGGCGCATCTCTTTATTGTCCGTCTCCAGACCTCCTATCTCACCACTCGCGCTCCCCTATCAGGCGCAATTTACTTTAGGTTCACCCCCCGCTGGCACATCTCGGCATTTTCCGTCTCCAGAACCTCGACATCCCCGCTCGCGTTCCTCAAGTCGACTTTCCTGTCCGCGCGACTTCAGACGAGGCGCGCCCCCGCTGGCGCATCTCGGCACGGTCCGCGCCCAGGCCCCCGACCCCCGCGCTCGCGTTCCCGTGCGTCAAGTCGAGTTTACTTCCCGCGCGACATCAGACGAACGGCGCCCCCCGCTGGCGCTTCTCGGCGCAATCCGTGTCCAGACCTCCCACCTCCCCGCTCGCGGTCCCCCATGCCAGGTGAAATTTACTTTCCGCGCGAGGTTAGACGAGGCGCGCCCCCCGCAGGCGCATCTTGGCGTTGTCCGTCTCCCGACCCCCGACTTCCCCACTCGCGCTCCGACGTGCCAAGTCGAGTTTACTTTCCGCGCGAGTTCAGGCGAGGCGCACCTCCCACTGGCGCATCTCGGCGCTGTCCGTCTCCAGACCCGCGAGCCCCCCCTTGGTGTTCCCGCGTGTCAGGTCGAGTTCACTTTCCGCGCGAGTTCAGACGAGGCGCGCCTCCCGCTGGCGCATTACGATGGCGACGCCGACGATGACGACGGCGACGACGGCGATGATGATGACGACGATACCGACGACGACGACAATGACGAGGAGGAGAAGGACGACGACGACGACGATACACCAGCGACGACGACGACGACGACGATGTACATTTTGAGAATGTATCGAGCGAAACGCATACTTTTGAGCGAAATGGTTGAAACCGTAGCACCCCGCATATTCGGATAAGAATGAGGGGGCGGCGGGGACGTCGGCAGTTTGCGAGACTCTGGAGAAGCCCACAGCAGGCGCCAAAGTTTCACAAATTATACAACGAGCCCGCCGCAGGCGCCGATTTTTTTCGCTAAACCAATGTGGGTCGGTCGCGGGTGGGTCGCAAATGGGTCGCGGGTGGGTTGCTGTTGGGTCGCGGGTGTAAAGGGCAGAAAATCCGTCCCATACTAGTCACCCCGACAAGCGAAGCCGTTTAGTAAACGCACGCAAGGAATGAATCGAACAGGGCAGGGCTGTTTAGTAGACGCACGGGGCCGTTTAGTAAACGTCGATTGTCGGGTCCGGGTGGTTTCTCTTTCTTTGAGGGTGGGTCGCGGGGTGGGTCGCGGGTGGGTCGCAGGGTGGGTCGCGGGTTGGTCGCGGATGGGTCGTGGATGGGTCGCGGGGTGGGTCGCGGGTGGGTCGCGGGGTGGGTCGCGGGTGGGTCGCGGGCGGGTCGCGGGGTGGGTCGCGGGTGGGTCGCGGGTTGGGTTTCGGGTGGGTCGCGTGGTGGGTCGCGTGGTGGGTCGCGGGGGGGGTCGCGGGGTGGATCGCGGGGTGGGTCGCGGGTGGGTCGCGGGTGGGACGACGACAAAAAAACAACAACAACAGCGCAACAAACATAATTTTCACCACGAAGTCCCTATCCAGCCACGCGCCCAGGGACAATGAACGACCGTTCGGCCCCGTCATTATGTTTTTTTGTTTGTTCAGAAATTGTGCCTCTTGGGCCGCCTGGGGGATGCCACCCATATGCGTCGTAAGACAGCTGATTGCGCGTCGCATGTTTTGGAGGATGTCTCAGGCGGGGAATTCATTTTCGAGAACACGACGAATTCGCAAGTTCCCTGGGCATCTTCGTTTTTCAAAGATGTTTCGGGCAATACCTACATTTTTAACCTACAGGGTCAAATCATAGCTCTGTCGGCATCTGTTTGTTTCGTGGAATTCCCAAGCGGAACGCCCACGTTTGGAAACGGGCGAATTTCGCGAAAGATGTCAATACGCCCATCTTCCGAAAACGTTTGCAACGATAGCCCCGTTTTCAACATCAAACGCCCAAACATAGATCCTCCGACATCTCAAGTGTGTGCGGATGTTTCAGGCGACATGGCCATTGGGGAACCTGGCCGGGCAAGAACGGGAAGCGTCGCTTTTGTCCACGTAGGTTTGTGAAGTATGTTGTTTCGCTAGTTTGCCTCGCGGGTACGTCGTGACGCGCATGCGTTCGCGCGTGCGCGTGCGTGCGTGGAATATGTGCATGTGTGTCCGTGCGTGGTGGTCAACGGCGCTGCTGTGTTATGCCGTGTTGCTCTGCCGTGCTCCTGCGGGCTGCGTGAACCTGTGTTACCTCTTTGTGTGTGCGTGTGTGTGTGTGTGTTTGTGTGTGTGTTTGTGTGTTTGTCTGTGTGTTTTGCGTGTGTGTCTGTGTCTGCGTGTGCCTGTGCCTGTGCCTGTGTGCGTGTGCACATGTGCGTGTGCCTGCGGGTGCGGCTGTGTGAATAAGTGTTATGTGTGTTCTGCCGTGTTCCTGCGTGTTCTGCCGTGCTCCTGTGTGTTTTGCCGTGCCCCTTTATGTATTCTGGCATGGTCCTGCTTCGTCGTACTCCTATGGGTTCTGCCGTGTTCCTGTATGTTTTGCCGTGTTCCTGTGTGTTCTGCGTGTTCCTGCTTGTTTTGCCGTGCTCCTACGTGGTTTGTGTGATCTGTCGCGCTCCTTGTGTTCTGCCATGCTCCTGTGTTTTCTGCCGTGCTCCTATGTTCTTTGTGTGTGTGTGTTTTGCCGTGTTCCTCGTGGTCTTGCGTGTTTTGCCCCGCTCCTGTGAGTTTTGCCGTGCTCCTTCGTGCTCTGCCGTCAATTCTGCCGTGCACCAGTGTGTTCTGCCTTGTTCTCGTGTGTATTGCCGTGCTCATACGTGTTCTGCCGCGCTCTTGCTTGCTTTGCCGTGCTTCTCTTCTATGTGTTGTGTTGTGTGTGTTGTGCGCGTGCGCGTGTGTGTGTGTGTGTGTGTGTGTTCTGCCGTGCTCTTGTCTGGTCTGTCATGTTCTTGCGTGCTCTACCGCGTTCTTGCCTGTTTTGCCGTACTCTGACGTGCTCCTCTTGCTTCTGTGTGTTGCCGTACTCCTCTGCTTCTGTGGTTGCTCCTCCTGTTTCTGCGTTTTGTGTGTTCAGCCGTGCGCCTGCGTGTTCTGCCGTGCTCCTGTGTGTTTTGCCGTGGCCCTATGTATTCTGTGTGTTCAGCATTGTTCTGTGTGCTCATGCGTGTTCTGCCGTGTTCCTGTGTGTGTTGCCGTGTTCCTGTTTGTTTTGCCGTGCTCCCGTATGTGATTTGGGTTTTGCCGTGGTCTTGTATGTTCTGCTGTGCTACTGTGTGTTTTGCCGTACTCTTGCGCGTTCTGCCGTGCTTCTGCGTGTTGGGTTGCCGTGATCCTGCCCATGTTCGGAAGATGTTTCAGGCGAAAAGCTCAGTGTTAACACGCATGGTCTTACATCAATGTGTTTAGCATCTCATGTGTTCGAGGATGTCCCAGGCGATAGCCCCATTTTCATACGTTTGATAATGTCGCTGCTTTCATTGTCTGCTGGATGTCTCAGGCGAAACGCTTGCTGCTGTAAAAGACGATGTTGCGAACACGTCATGTTGGTGAGGAGGTCTCGAGCGAAATGCTAAGTTTGAGGAGGCTCGAGGGCGCTCTTGGGATCATCGGGGGGCCTCGTTTGGGGCTCGTTTGGGGCTGCTTCGATGCCATTCAAACACATGTCAATGCGATGCCACACACACACATCTCTTGTTTGAGGTTGTCCCTAGCGAAATCGTCATTGTTAGAAGCCTGGTTTGGGCCGTCTTGAAGCCTTTTCAAGAGCGATCCTTGAACGATGTCATAACATCAGTTTTCAAAACGGTGATGTCGTATGGTGTTCATGTTTTGAGGATGTCCCTAGCGAAGTCGTCATATTCGGCAGTCGTCAGGGCGCTCTTGGAGCCATATTGGGGTCCTTTTTGGGCTCTAAGCACTTCAAGAACGATGTCAAGGCCATGTTGAGCACATCTCATTGCTTGAGGATGCCCCCAGCGAGATGCAACGTTTCTGCCGTGCTCGTTTTTCTGGTCCGCCGTGCAGCCAGGCATGTTCGATGCCCCTAGCGAAAACGACACCTCCGTCGACATTCCATGTATGTGAGGCTGTCGCAGGCGACACTCCAAGTTCTGAAGAACCGTGAATCTCGCGAAGATCGCATGTTCGAGGATGTCTCTGGCGAACCGCTTGTTTTTGCTTAACGCGATGTCGCGAAGATTTCCATGTTGTGAGGATGTCTCAGGCGAGCTCGCAATTCGGGGGGATCCGCTAACCCTGTCTTCCGTGCAGCCAGCCCCCCACTATTAGTAAGAGATTGTTCGATATGTCGCAGATTTAGCCACAACG